TAATTCAATCCAATAAGTTTAAATGAAATGCAAGAAAAAATGCGTATAATTTAATATTCAAGGAAGTCATGGTGTACACATCAGATTTTTACCCACGAACTCGTGTAGGAGATAGAAGCTTGTCATTTTAAGTATTTTCGATTCGTTGAATAATTAACGGTTAATGCAAAAACCGTATTTTAAATAAAGGTAACGCACAAAATGTTAAAAAAACGCCCCTTTGGACTTAATAGGAAATCTGAAAGCTGTCAGATTTTATTTTTTTTTTAAATCCCTATTTGTATTTGTTCCATTCTTTATGAGTTGAAATCTGAACGCCATTTTAACATCTATTTTTCATTTAATTCCATTAGATAAACATGAAGCATTTTATTTCTATGAAACTTTCTGTTGCTTCAGATAAAAATAGCAATACTATGATTTATAAGTCTTACGAAACAAAAGGGAATGTTAACCATAAAATGTATTTGAAGCAATGGCGTAATTATTGCGCATGATCGATAACGTTGAATTGGAATTTCATTAACTTGTGCCCCCAAAATAAAGTGTTTTCTCTGCTCACAATTTTATTAGGTATTCCTAAAATGTGCTAAACTTTTCACATTTATTTCAAGCAACAAAATATCTGAAGATTTTTAATACTAATTAATTCATAAACTCATTCACAGTTTTAAATCTTGTGGAATTTTAATTTCATGTTCAATTTAAGATATTTTCCTGAATATATCGAATTAATGATATATATTATTACTACAATAAAATATAATCTCATTGTATTATTCACTCTGTTCCTTTCTTATTGTAATACTTACTGGTAATTGGTATTTTACTCTTATAAGTAATTTATTTTAATCGTTTTATGATCACAAAATTTATTTAAATATAATAGCGAATTCTTAGCAAATTTCAATATTTTTAAATACGCAATTCGAAGTAGAATTAAAATTAAAATATTCGTTTTCTATTCGAATCAAAATTAATCTAAGTTACCTAGAGATTTTTCTAACCTGAAAAATTTTAGATTTTGTTTAAAGTTAGATTTCAGTTAGCCTTATACATCTTAGCTCTTGTCACACTCAGCAAAACAAATGGTACGCATTTAAAAACAAAACTACTGACTACGTGAAAACACTTTAAAAATATTCCCTGTAAAAATGCAAGATAGATAAACTTAAGGTGCAAAGAATTTTATTTGAAACATTTGCACTTCCTGTGTTGATAATTTTAGAAAATATGTATATTTATTTAAATTAAACATAATTACTATTTTAAACTCAATGCCATAATTTTTCGCTGCATTTTTTAAACTAAGATTTTACTTTCTAGATGAAAAAAACAATGTACAGCTTACAGAATTCTATACTATCTGAAATAAATAAGTTTTAATATTACATTTGAATTATATCAGAAGTAAATGTAAATAAGTGAAATTAATCTCGTTTTTCAAAAGCAAAATATGACTTGAAGGCCTATGAAGAAACTAGCAAGAGGGGACGTTCTCAGGTCAGGGCTATCATACTGAGAATGACGCAATGCTATAACACCACTTAGGAAATTCCATCTCCTGGGGACCGCAAGTACCTTCCGGTCACATTTATAAGGAAACAGAAATTGATTTGACCTGAACGGGAACTAAATATTCTTTTGTCTGCAGCATATGGTATGAAATGTGGATAATATTAGTAATTCAGTAGCCACTGAGATTAGGAGATGTCTAGCTAGAAAAAAGTCTTTGGAATGAAACGATCTGTTTAGGATCCATCTTTCCATTTTCAGTCTTTTTCAAATCAAATATTGAATTTTTTATTTTGCCGCTCTGTAAATACTCGAAGGTATATAATTAACTAATGTTTGGTAGTTTTTCAGGGATTTATTTAATTAACTTAATAGTTAATTTTATTTTGGTGCAATCTCTCCTATCGCTGTTGCTTTCAACTCCCGTTTTTTTTGCCAGAATGTAAATGAGTTAGCGCGCGTGTATTCAAATGAGTTAGAAAGATGTTAGTATTTAAGGGAAAGTTTTTGAAGGTGAATTTAGAGATCTGCCTGCCTGACGGCCACATTGCTATCTTTGATTTATTAGTAATTAGATTTCTGTGGTTTAAAGCGCTTCTTAACATTAGGCTTGTTTTACGCCGACATTTAAAAGTCAGAACCAGCCTGCGCGTTAATTTACCTGTGAATCGTTAGGCTAAATTTACTCCATTTAATTTTAAGTTAATCGTCACCTTTTTACTTCTTTGTACGAAGTAAAAAGGAAGTATTGTAATCGCGAAAAGTTTCAGGCAGCATATTTCAACGAAAATATCCATATCGAATGCATTTAACAATTTTTTTTTTGCGTGATATCTATACGTAGGACAGGATAAAGACTCTTTCCCTCCAAATTATTTAAAACTTTAAAATTAATTCTGAAGGGAATTTTTCGTGGCGTCTGTACGAACGTATGTACGTACGGCGTACGTACGTATCTCGCATCCGCATAACAAAAACGAGTAGTCCTCAGAACGTCGAAATTTTGTATAGGACTGCTATAACATGTAGAGTGCACCTCGTTTTTGTTTGCAATCGCCACACCAAGCGTACATATAATATATTTATATATCCATCCTGTTACCCGGCTCAGTGATCTCAGTTTCTTTACTTTTATGTTTAAATTGTACATTTTTTGCTTTAAATGATTGAATTATGTTGTTTTCTATCTTCCGGTTAAGGATTTATGCCTTTAGTAAATCTGTGTGCAATATTTTTAGAATTATCAGCAATTTAATTTGTTTAATTGCGCTAAGCCTGTTTTTGGCGGCCATGGTGTTTACATTTGAAACAGGAGACTAGTGGATTTGTTGCCAATCTAGAGAACTTCGAAACTTAGCTTCGCAACAACAAAGATAACGCCTTAATTCTTTTGGAATTTTTTCCGAGGAAATAAGCGTTTGAGATTTACTTCGTAATTTTTAATATGAGATATTTTGAGTTTTTATGTATTTTTGCCTTCTCGCGAAGTGAGAACTGAATTAATTAAATGAGAAATACTCAATCGTCTGTGAAAAACTGTTTCTTTTTTAGTTTTATTTGCTTAATTTCTTTTATACATCGTTGTAGCTTTGTTATAGTATTTGAATACAACATATGGCAACGATTAGATAATTCTTTAAATGATATACATTTTGTGCATTCTGAGTTATGAATGAAATATAATGCTATTAAGTAAACCTAGCGCCAGAGTGTCGCTATGGTAAACAAAGTGAATTTTAAAGAATGCATTTATTCTATTGTGGTTTATGCGCTGTCGGCGAAGTAGGTTTAATTCAATCCAATAAGTTTAAATGAAATGCCAAAAAAATGCGTATAATTTAATATTCCATACAAGGAAGTCATGTGATTAATTTATTAGATTTAGATTTTTTTAATTAAGCCAAAAATGCCGGCTTTTATAACGGTACCATCTGTGAGCTTTAATTTGAATTAATAAAAGATTCTTTACACCCTTCTCGTGAATCTGTCGTATTTATGGGATAATTCCCTATACAGTCTACCAATGTTTGGCTAGTTTCTGGTATCAAAGTTATACGAGACAGTATAGTTTTGTAAATATGCGTCTTTAAAAAAACATTAGAATGGGTCAAACGCTAAACATTTTAACTGAAAAAAAAAAAAAAAAAAAAAAAAAAAGAGATTTCATTTGCGCGTTATCGATTTTTAATGCACTGGAGTAAAATTTTGTACAGTATTTTAAACTCAAATGTCCATTCATTAAACCACAACAAGTATTATGATGCATAAAAATATCGAATTTTTTAATAATGTTCGAAAACCAAAGAGATATTTCACTATATTTGGAATTCATTCGCCATTTTGTAAACAATTAAAATTTTGCGAAAGGAATAAATCCTCTATATCATATTATTTTGATATTTCCTGCATTTTCATTTTTATTTTATTTTAATGTTTAAACAAAAACTAGTCTATGTAAAGAATGTTATAAATCATTATTCACAGCGATTAATTACAACGCAACTGTTCTGATTCTGCTTAACTCCTTAATCTAAATGAGATCAGCTCTTTAAATTCATCAAGCAAAGCGACAAAAGAAGCAAACTTTTAGGAGATGATTGTTTATTTTGAATATGACTCATAATACGGGTCTTCTCTGCCGAAAGGTAGAGGTGCATACAATGGACATGTTGTAGGGAAACACAGGTTGCATTCACATTACACATGATGGAAACCATGAAAATAGCCATGTAGGTAATCCTTCGTTGAGATTTTAGCCAAGAGGGATGAAATGTTGTAGGCAAGGCAGCTATGAAGGCTTTAGCACTTGAAACGGAGGGTTTGGTATTATGGAAAATGTTAATTAGATATAGTACTGTTGAAGTAACAAAAGCAGTAACTGATAATAAACCAATGCCAAAATAAAATACAAAAATCGCAAATTAAATTAGCAATGAATAAATTATAGGAGTGAATATAAATTTACGTACTGTATTGAATTATTTGCGATTTTAAATCAATACATAATGAGTGGAGACTAGCTACAGTGTCGGCTCAGATACCACGTAAGGCTTAGATAGTTGTATTGGTTCTCTACCCCTTTGAAGATGCAATATCTGTGTACCGTATGCAGTGCACTCTGTAGTGAAAATAATGAATGAAATGAAAACAACCGATGGATTCTGCTGGCTCTTTTTTAAGGGCATAATCACCTTCTAATTATTTTTTTTTATTTTCAATTTAAGATGCGCATATAAACTTTCAAAGATTATCTACTCTTTTAAACACTTATAAAACCTTTTTTTCAATCCCCAAATTCTTGCAAATGTGCTTTTACCTATCGTCTATTATAAACGTATGTATATTATTTTCTGCGAGTAAGAATATCCTTCTGTTAATATGCTATTAATATTAAATTGAAACATATAAAAATTACTTCGGGTTTGAATTAAAATGTTTGTTTTAAAGATCATTGGTTATAAATCCAAAATTCTTTAATTTTACAGGTGGTTGTTTCGCTTCTCTCAACCAGCTCACTTCATGACTCTAGTAACATCAATCTACTTAGCATTCCTGTTTTTCCCCCGTGAAAATCGCCTAGCACCAGAGCAACCGTCTACGTTCACCAGTTTGCTATATGTCGCCTGCTTTGCTATGCATTTCGGAACGCAGTTTTGGATGACTTTCGCGTCAGGTAAGATAAATTCATATTTTGACGCGACAAAAAAAAAAAAAAAAAAACTAGACGTTTAAGCAAAATTACATGTACATCCGTCTTTACCGTTGAATAATGCGTCAAAGCAACTTTTAGGAGATGATTGTTTATTTGAATATACTCATAATGGGTTTCTCTGCCTAAGGTAGAGGTGCATACAAGGACATGTTGTAGGGAAACACGGGTTGCATTCACATTACACATGATGGAAACCATGAAAATAGCCATGTAGGTAATCCTTCGTTGAGATTTTACCAAGTTGAACTACCGGAGTTCCAGAAGGCACAAAAAATAAAATAGGTTTATAAGTGTTTAAACTATATGAGATATAGCTTCAAAATGATTTTATTTTATCTCTGATAGCCGATATGTATATATAATTTTTGTGCATGATTGTAAAAATCATATTGTTACGTTTTTCTTTCTTCTGACACCAGTTGTTACGTTCGAAAGGGGTTCGTAGATTTGGAGTGAATAACGACAACACTTGATGAAGGAAACACAACTTTATTCCAGGATTATATCAGATAGTCGCAAAATTTCAGTTTTTTACAGTTCTCGAACGGTTATAAACAAGCTGACACGTTCAGCGACACAGCTTACCTGTCAAACGGTGGAGCTCACCGCAAAGCACCCGAGTACATCTCCCTCCGCTTGGTCGTTCGGAACCACGTACTCTCAAACTCACGTGATGCACTCGACGATACACCGAGTATAGCTCTCGACTCAGCCAATCTAAGACAAAACCTTGACGCCTTGCACTAATTGCGATGCACTACGACCAACTCGGGCCTCGCTAGACTTCGAGAGACTACTCAATGACTATCAGTCGCTCGACGAGCACCACACACTGACTTCGGACAGCAGGGTTTATATAGCTTCGGCTTGTGTGCGAGAACATTCGGGTAAACGTAAGAATTCGTTCCAGAAGGTTCTCTATCCGTCCTGGTATATCGGCCATATGGGGCGATTTCTCGCCAATGTGATAACCGCATCTTTTGCATTCATGAAACCCTAAAAACTGCTTGGGGGAATGATCTCACGCGCCTACATTTCATAACAATATCATCATTTCAAGACTAATTTTGTTTTGGTTAGTTTTTAAGTTTACATTAAAATATAGATATATATTTCAATCATGATACCAACAGTTTCTAGGTACAAAATGTCTATGAAACTAGCGCATTCATCTAGCATTACCAAATGTTGACAATCAAGTTTCAGTGCAGACTTTCCAGACATCTGAATCAAACATTCATTATACATTCCTGAAAACCACGTTATCAATAGGCTTATTATGTTTTATTGCCCCTAATATTATTTTTTCATAGAAGATACTACATGTATTTCATTTGTTTTGAATAAAAAAAAATTTGAAACTCTTTTTCAAATATTTTTCTTCATATAGTAGGTTTATGATACCAGTTTGGTCGAATTAACTCTAACTCAAATAAACTATTTGCATTCATAAGAACTGCCATGTTTAAATTTTCAGTAAATACAACATTAATATTCCAATGTTGTTTTTTACGTGGTAATAAAATTTACCATTTTCCTACAGGTCTTGTTTTATTTTTCTCTCTACCACGTCACATCTTCGGTAAAGTACAGAAGTGCCTCTTTCCTAAGTACTTCATGCTCAACTCTCTCTTGTCAGCGATAACCCTAGCGCTCTTCATCCTCCATCACCCTACTACCGCACAAGGTGAACTCAAAGTTCAAGTAAGTGAATCTGAATTGTTTATCGTTTCTATCACCAGCATCTTCGCACTTCCTTACGCTTGTTGTTCGAGATGACATGTTGACAGCTTTTCGTCACTGATGCGTGCTAAAAGCTATGACGTAGAAACGGTGTCGTCACTAGCTATATATACGTAAGAATTATAATAATTATTTTCGTCTGCAGAAGTGTGCTGAATATTCAATATCGCTTTACGTTCTTTTCTACTTATATGGTCTGGTAATAGCCATGCAGATAATCCTCATCTCAAATGGCAGACAGAGAAATAATGTAGTTTTGAAATGATGTAGTTACACGCTGTGAAGCAAGTCAGCTATAATGTTAGTAAAAATTCAACGAACCAATCTGGAAATTTTATTGCCAAGATTATTATCATAATTTAATAACCTTGGAAAAGTAAAAATAACTGTAACTGTAACCTTAAGGTACGAATCATCAACATTCTGCCAGAACAACTCTTCAGGACTTTCCCATTAGCTTAATTGAATATGACAAAGCTCAAGACTGCGATTTGCCTAACGGGTGGAATGCCTTTGTGGAGGGCTTTCTAAGGGAAACCGGTTCTTATTTATTACACATGAGAAAAATCACGAAAAACCAACCATGCAGCCAGGTCATTCGATCTGGCTCGATCCCAAATAAAACGCCTAGAATTTAGCAGTCTTGGCCACTCGGCCACTAGTGGGGATCGAAACATTCAGACATCTAGAACATTTTTAAATACTCAAGACAATTAATTATTTTTGTTCGAATTTTATTGCTGAGAATTTTAAAATATCCAAGATCAGGAAATGAAATTATTTTACTATGAAATGTAAGCATATAAAATCATCCATATTTCATAATAAAATGGAAATCAGAGCTGTCTATTCCAACTTTTTCAATATCGATTTAATGATACATGAGCTTGTGCTTATCCTAAGCTTTTAAAGAACTATGATTGTGGAGGCGATCCCGTAGAAATGATTCTGCTGCGATTTTTCCTCCATGCAAATGTCAGTTATAGAGTAAAATTTTAAAAATATGTGTTACTTCATATATTAAGTTGATATTTAGCTGATTCACAGCAATTAAAATATGGTAACAAGTTTTGGATGCATATTTCAATCAATTTCAACAAGCGCAGAAATCATTAGTTTGAAATTTTTAATCATGTAATCTAAAGAAACACATCAATAAATAAACAAAAAAATGTATTTTTAAATTGCAACCTGAAGATTTTTTATTACAGTCTAATATTCAAATAAAAAAGTTTATCATTAAAAATTTCAAAAAAATATTTCAAATATTAAACAATATGAAATTATAAAAAGAATGCTTCTGCACCATGTACTATGTAACAAGTGGCGATAAAAACATGTTTTATTCGTTACAAAAAGAAGATAAAAAAATCTGCAAATGTTCTCCGAAATTTTTAATTGAATAAATATAATAAACTAAATATATTTTAATTCAAAGCAATTAGATGTATCATTAAAAAAGGAAAATAAAGATTTAAATTATTAAGAACTGTGTTTATTGGTTTTAAAAATGCTTATTTTGTTAATCAATACCAGAGTGATAAAATTTGAAATAAAGACTTTATGCTTTCTCGAAGGGCAATTTTCTAAGAGTCTGTTACGCGCGAGGGCGCTCGGGAGATAAACTGAGGGTTAATTGCTTTTTGTTTCGATGAATGGTAATACTTTCTAACGACTTCTGGATTCTTCTGGATTTCTGTTGGATTCTTTCATTCTCATCCCTCCGTTTTTTCAGAATGAAACTTAAAATGTTAAGCAATACATCTTCTTCGAGGTGTAAAATCAACAAACTGGACTCATTTACGAATAAAATATTATTATTTTTTTAGCTAAAGGAAGATCTTGAATTAAAACTGAAATTGTTCATCATTTAATAGAAAAATAATGGGTTAAAAGCACCTGTCTTCTTAGTTTGAATTTTAATTTTATGCCGAGAAATATTTCATAAGATTGATCACAGCAGTTTTTATCTTTTATATTACTGTAGAGCTAAGGATAGCATTTTAATTGCTTTAGTTGTAATCATCAGTGGTATATATAAAATATGAGGTATAAAAATAATGAGTAACAACCCCAAAAGCTCAGTTCGAAAAAACTCCAAATTTTTAAAACACAGTACGCTTGTCTTTTATTATTTAAATAAGAAAATGCTGCATTATCACTTCTAAAAAATTAACATTAGTAAAATATTATTCATTAGCTAAATCTGAGTAATATTTTCCATGAAATTTTGGAGGTTTAATCTGATCTATATTCAATGTTACATATCAAATTTCACTAAAGGCTAATACCGTTTTTATTTTATTTGCTAAATAATGTGCTGATGCAAACATGTCCGATTATGCATTAATTCGTAAGCTGACTAGTTAGATAAATTACCAATGATTTCATTATTTGAAATGCAGCTAATCAAAATATGCACCTGTATATTAATGACCAAAAGAATTCGGCGCCATGATTCTAATATATCTGTGCCGTCGGCAATGAGATACATACAGCTATTTTCAAGGACGCAATCAAGGTCTTCAACATGGTCTGGCTAATTATCAGCGATTTAGGGTATTAGAAATTCTACAAGAGTCCTTTATCTTGAATATTTTTAGTAATTCCTGTATCTTAAATGGAAGGTTTAGAAAAACTGGCTTTTGGGAATTACCAAGGTCACCATACCTGGTGCCCATTACTGAAGAGTAAATAAATAACCAACATGCTAAGAGTCATAATAAACTCATTTTTCGATTGCCTATTGCATTCTGAGAGCATTGTTTGGTATTGAAGATTTAGGAGTTAATTGGAATGAATAGAAGTATTTTATCGCCGCAAAGGCACTCTGCCAGAGCTGCATCAGAATTCTGATTGAGCACGCATCGAAGAATAAGGTCTCTATTAGATCTTAAACCACTAAAAATTGGAAATTTAGTAAGGAATGAAGTAGTCTTATTTTTATATTCCTGATAAACTGAAATCTGAAGAGAGTATCTTTTAACTTCATTGAGTTATGACTGTTATTACATTTCTGCTAAAATTGAACACTGTTGTACACGTGTAGATTTGCATTTTATATTGCTCTAATATACTCAGAATAGATTTATATAAATTGTAAGTTTAAATTCCTGTGGATAATTTGAAAACTTATTTTGTTACTGATCAGCGTTGCATCTGAAACCTTGCTTGTTTATAAGTAAACGTACATTTGATATTTCATGTTACATAAAGTTAATTACCTTAATAACGCGTCTGGCAACTATTTTGAAAATGAAAGATCTTTTTCAAAATACCAATCCAAAATTTTAAAGGAATAAAACATGTGGTTTTTGTCATTTTTGAAGATTAGCTTACTGTTGAAAATCTTTGTCAAAAATAGTAATAGAGTGTAATAACTTTAATTATTTACTCATTGATACCTCAGGCATTTTAAATTATAGCAAATTTAATTATTATTGAGCAGATGTTCAAAGAACATCTGCCCAATAATAATGCATCTGCGCAATTATTATTGCGCAGATGTTCTAACTTTTTTCTGAAGTAGCTAATCGTATGCGGTTCCTTTTCTCTCGTCCATTGCTTCAAGATTAGACGATTAAACGCATCATTAAATTATTAAACAATTCCCATAAAGAATGTTACAGTAATAAACGCCATATAACTGTAAAGTTCTTCATGGAAATTATCTCGTAACATTCCATGAAGTTAATAATGTATTGCTCCACATATCCGACCTGAACATTACCATTTTACTTCAAATATATGCTAAAAATGTATGCATGTCAACATCAGTTCTAAGAATCAGTGTTTTTCATTACAGATGTGGACGCTGTTAGTCTGTTTCCTGAGTGAATTCGGAGCTAGATTATACATTGTTCCAAGTCTGATAGATGCTCTTGAAGAAAGGATGAACCTCGAAGAGAATGCAGGAGTAGGCATGGAAGTTGGCTACCACAATCCAGGACCTTTAGCTTACTGCCCTCATTACTCTCAGATTAATAAGAAGTTTAGAAAATACCACGCCATCTGCGCATGTGCTAATATCCTTTCCATGGGTTGCACCACATTGCATTTATATTTCCTTTCTACAAGGCTGAGATCAGCTTTAACATAGATTATTCCAGTACAGTTTGTTCATATCCTCATCTATTGACTACATCTGGATATTGTAGTGTTTATTTATGTGCAATACAAGTTTGGACATGATAAAATGCGTTTGAACCAACAAAGAAGAAACTGTACCAGAGACAGCAAGCGGCAGTTCAAAATAAGGTGAAGGTAAATGCTGCTTTGTGGACAAAAACGCAGAATTAGGCCAGTATCATTGCGAGTTCTAGCACAAACTGCTGCCTAAGCTTTATCCATTACATACTACTTCTGAAATACAGATCAGAACTCTGTTTGCGTCCAAGGAAAGAGAGATGTCTAAAGACTCGGATGAGAGATATGCAATCAAAGGGTTATTAGTAAACACTTTATACAAAGATTTATAAGTAAAAGAACTTCGTTTGCAGTTACCCAATACATATTCAAACAATATTGTGTTTACTAATAACCCTCTGAAGGAAGATGCCTTACAAAATCAATGAATGTGATAATGTAGCACAACATAATTTCTCACAACATAACTAGTAAGTATTATGTTATGTTATGAAAAAAGAATAATTTATAAAATCTACCTTATGAAAACTTTTCAGCTTTCAGCTACTGAAAAACTTAATTTTTACTAACACCAAATTAAATTCTTTGAATTCATAAAGTGTACAAAAGAAAAAAAAATTGTGAGACATAAATATGCTGAAAACAATGCAAACCTAATTATTATGTAATATTTCTTTTTGTATTCTTCCCATCCTAAGAACATTTCTCTACTTAGATTTTATTTACTAAAACTTAAGCAGAGAAACGTTTTATTAAAGCATTACAAGAAAATATATCGCATGATGCATATCAAAATAAAGTACATACTTTACATAACATATTAATGAAATCTATTTATGTATAAATTATTGTTATGGGGTTTTCTGATGCGCAGCAAAATGTATTTTATTGTACTTTAATTCTAACATAAAATTTAATAGCTGAAATTCTATCATAAACGTTTAGTCTTTCGTAAGAAAACGCAAGGCTAGTTTTATTAAAACTTAAAATTATTTCAGTAAAACAAATACCTTCATTATGTTAAAAAGAAGACAAGCAAAAAATGCATTTGACTATTTATTAAATAATCAATAAATTATACTTTTGAGGGCCAGCACATGTTTTATAAGCAAAAAGTACTTACTTCAATTTTTATAAAGTAAGTACTTGCTGTACTTAATACATTGCTCTAGGTCAAAATAAGAGCAAAATCCTTGATAATCTAAATTGGAAAACGTGTTTTAAAAATTCTACAATGCAAAATGTTAAAAATTAGATATTTAAGAAAAATGACACCCATATATATTAAAATCATGAAATAAACCATTGATTAAACATTTGTAAATTTATTATTCATAATGTATTATTATTTATTGTTCTTTCATTTTCATTCTTCTCTCATAATGTATTTATTAGAAAGGTCATTATAAATTTCACTCGATATTTAAAGTGAAACTTCATCCTTTTAGTATTATTCTCTGTGTATTGCATTTCAGTTTGTTCGTAAACTATTTTGTATTGTTTGTCTACAGTGTTCACATTTGACCTTTATTGCTCATTTTTAAGGATAATTTTAGAAAAAACTTCGGTGTGTATGATGAATGTTACTAAAATATTTCTTTCTACTGTAGTCCAGCTGTTTGATTTAAATATTTATTTTAATGTACTAAATAAAAAAGAACTTACATTTAAAGATTTGTTGCATTTTTCTGAGTTTTATTTTTGATCTGAGTCTTCATAACTAAAATGTATACGATTATTTCCCAACTAACAAAGATCCACAAGAATTCTACAGGGGTTCTGAATCAGATGGCTACTGAATAAACTAAAACATTTTACACTGCTTTTTAAAAAAATGTGATCATAATTTAGTTTAAATTTTACTTTAACAACCACTTCGCGCACTGCAGTTTATGATAGTAAAATAAATGGATTTATTTTAAAAAAATAAACTAATCTTAATTACCTGTTTTTATTTTAATAAAAATTTATTAGTTTTTTTTTTTTTTTTTTTTTTTTTTTTTTTTTTAAATGCATTAGAGATATACAAAGTTTCGTATTTAGCATCTTACACATGATAAAAATTTCAGGAAATATTTTCAATTGGTTGGAATAAAAAGTAAATTCAGATAGGAAGCATGAAATCTTCCACCTTCTCTGCTGATATGCATTATAATCTTCACTCACTGAACAGAAAAAAATCGCAAAACATATAAGTTAAAAAATGGATACAAAAAAAGCAGGCCTGCAAAAGTATACTGTCTGTTGAAAAGAGCTTTGATAATCATAACAAGTGTAATCACCACACTAATGTACTCTGTAACCAATCCTTTAATATAAACTCTGCTGTTAACGTAAACTATGTTGGACTAACTCTAACAACGATGGTTCCCTCTAGTGGCTAGCCAGAGAAAGACTTTTCAGTAAACACCAAGCGATGAACCTGTTCGGTTGCATCAGACTCTTGCTCTGTAATAGTCTTAAAATTAAATGTGATGTTTGTGTATAACTTAAAGCTGTTAATAAATTATTTGGTTACACTATAAAGGTCTCTATTATGACCCCATCCAACATGAACCCCCCCCCCCCCACACACACACAACTCTGAGCTTGCAGTTACTGTAAATTTTATGAAGAAGTACATGAAACGAAAATTACAGTAAGACCCCGCTTAACGCGGGGGATCCGTTCCATCGAAGTAGAGCGTAATGCGAAACAGCGCTAAACGAGGCTATCTTAACATGTAACTAATGGAGTTAGGGGAAGATGGATAGAAAATTGGTTAGGTATTAAATTTAATAATGTTTTTTTTAATAAAAATAAAAACCAAACATTTATTTATTACAAAAATAAAAACAATATAAACGAATATACTTATAAAAACAAATAAAATTCTAAGCCAGTCAGATCATTCAGTCTATTCTGCGTTTCCAATTTTCTGCCCTTTTTTTTTTTTTTTTTTTTTTTCAAGAAGGCATTATGATAGATTGGCTTAATGGCATATTGCGTTCAATTTCGTCGTCAATCCATATAGACAGTCGTTTTTCCACTTCCTCTATAATGTTATTTCTAGAACGGGTAATTCTAGTTGCAGAACTTGACGTAGTTGCAGTTGCCCATGACAGTATTTTTTCTTTATTCTTAAGAATTGTCCTTATTGTTGAAGTTGCCAAATTCAATGCAGACTAATTTGAGATTGACGCTCATCAGAATCTAATCTTCTAATCACTTGCATTTAAGTTTCCAGTGAAATGCTTTTTCTGGTTGCTTTCTTTTCTTGTTTTTTATTATCACCCATGATAAAAACTAAAGATCATAATATTTGTCACTGTATTAATCGTTATAGTATTATGTAAATTTATACTTACAATAATGTCAACAAATGTTTCAAATGATAAAAATGCTTCCGTACAGCACCTCACCGCACCAAACAAGAAACATAACTACAAAGTTTCGGATTATGTTATTTGGAAACCTACCGCTGCGCAAAATTTCGAGGAATCCCCGTAGTTCATGCTGCGAGGAATTTCGGGGAATCCCGAGGTTGAAATAAAAGAGCGCTAAACCGACACAGCGCTAAACGAAACAGCGTTAAGCGGGGTCTTACTGTATTTCAAAAATTTCGTGAAATCAAAAATATTGAAAAATGCTGATCTTAAGAAAATAAGATATTACTTCTAGAAAACTGTGCCTACAATGCTTCTAAGGAAAATCTAGCCTAAAGCTAAATCGTCAAAAATCACTTGGGGTAACATTATAATTCACTTCAAATTTCCAGTCACCTTAAACAGCGGTGGCCAACAAAGGCCCTTCGACTGCATGTAGCCAGTGAAAGGTTAAAAGTGTTTATTATTTTTACAGCAATAATGAAAGGTAGACTCGTAGTTATGAAAAAAACGAGCTTACAGAATAATTTGCATCAGTTACTGAAATTCAAACAGTATATTTTAAGCGTAAATGTGCAGCACTAAACGCTATAAACTACTCGAATGTTCCAGAACTCATAATGATTGTTTTTAGCCCAAAGGGCATTACCACAGAAGGGCTATTAATTTCGTTTTGGCATTTTGCGTCGATTCACTTTCTGCGTTGGTTTACTTTTCAAACTTTTGCCACCAAACATTACAGCTCTGTACTATATTTAAAGAAATTAAATAATGAAAAATCTGCATGAATGTACGTATGTTTCTCACATTGTGAAAAAAACCGACGGTACCTAGACTCATCAAATTTTAAATAACGCAATCCTCCACTCGAAAATGCGCACCTTGGACGCCTGAATTTTGAATTTGTCTTATTTCATACTCATATATGTCTCTATTTCTTAGTTTGAAAAATTTAACGAATTTTTCATTAGCAAACCCAATTATTTCAAAGCGAGTGGTTGCAACACTATATGGGAAAAAAAAAAAAAAAAATTATCTCCAGCGCGTCATATGCCTATCGGAAATTCTAAAGATATGATATAATATTCTAAAGATATGATTCTAAAGGTATGTTTTTAAATATTTTGTGATATTGCTGTTGAATTGAATTTTGTGTGGTTTATGCGCGAAGAACATGATATTTAATAAATAAAGGTAGTGCACAAACGTTAAAAAAAATGTCCCTTTGGGCATTAACATTAATAATGAAAAGACAAAAAAAAAAAAAAAAAAAAAATTTAAAAAAATCAGAAAGCTTTCATATTTTACATAAGCACAAAGAGGCTTTCTTTTCATTTACACATGCATACACGTCTCAAGAGCATTTGGACTAACGCCCCTTTGGGCTAAAAATATTTAACATAAAACAGCATACCTTTAGAATTTCCAATAAACAGTCTCACGCGCTGGAGAAAAAAAATTTTATTCCGTACAGTGTGTTGCCACTACTGGCTTTGAAATAAGTTAAGTTTCTTTATCAAAAATTCATTAACCCTTTGCATTAATTTGCACCCCTTTCATTAACAGTGTGTCCGGTCTGGACACACCTAAATATTTCCTTCTGTGCGCACAGAAAAATTGAAGGAAAAATGATTTATAGGTTACTATAGGTTACTCTGAACCTTTATTATTTATAGTAGATGGCAATTCACCACAAACCAGTCCATATATTTTAACCATGTTTAGTTTTTTTAAGACCCTCATTTTTTAAAGAAATCTTCCAGATTTATTTAGGATATAAAAGGAATTATTTTAAAATAAATTTCTATGCTATTTTTTGGCTCCTTATTCTATATTAGTTTTAAATTTTTACCTTGAAATCTTGCCTAAAATCAAACGGCGAACCCTAGGTGTGCCCAGACACGGCTCGCCGATAATCTAGGACAACTGAGAGTCTGTATTCTTTGTTTCTCCACATCTGATCGGTCAGTACATTGACAACAATGCTCGTTTCAGCACTCTTTTCGAAGCTCTATTCAATCAGTGCGCCACTTTGGGCACACCCACAGAATTAAAACGATAAGCGCTATCTTCACAAAATTTTACTTGTGTACTCCTCTAGACCTAATAAGACTGCCTTTTTTTTTTTTTTTTTTTTTTTTTTCAATTAAAACTCCAACTTTAAAAGGTAGCGTGCCGGAAAGGGTTAAAGTTAAAAAAAAAAAATTATGAACTAGATAATAAAACAAATTCGAAGTTCAAGATTCAGGCTTCCAGGTGCCCGTATTCGGTGGAAAACTACTTTATTCCAAATCTGCTCTAAATATCGTTGTTTTGTCACAGTACGAGAAACATACACTCATACAGATTCTTCATTATTTCTTTTAAATATATTACGAGCGATAATATTTGATGGTAACAATTTGAAAAATCATACAGCGGTTTATAGCGATTCGACGCAAAATGAAGTTTCGAGACTAATAACCTTTCTGGGCTAACGCCTCTTTGCGCTAAAACGTTTTGTAAAACCAACTTAATAAGGAAAGCGAACATAGTTATCATGAACTCAGAAAAGACTGAAAGAAAATCAGAAAAATATATGCTAACCTTAACGCTGCATGGGGAGTTCTAAAGGTATACTGCTTTTAAAGTTTTTGTAATGTTGCTGTTGATTTGTATAGGGCGTAAATGCGAAGAAAATTATGTTGAATAATAAAGCTAAAAAGGCAAAAATAAATGGATTCGTAGGTGTGAGTGTAACAACAAACTGGGATCTCAGCGTAAAAAAACTTAAAACCGTAACAAACACTTTGAGCGACCGTTTAAATCTGAAACCTTTCAGACTTCGCCCCTTCCCCACTTTTGTGGATAGGATTTTGACCTTCTCAAAACGAATCACATATTGAGAATTAAGAGTTCCAAATATTGAATAGTGTAACTTTTTTTAACTTTAGATATTAGCATGCAATAAAATATTTATGAATTTTTTTTAACGTGCAATGATAAGTATAGAATTTAGGTGTTAATGTTTCAGGTTAAAGTACAAACTGTAGCAGAATTCCATCTCAATTGCATCATAAATATCTTTCAATTCATGTCCCTTATTATAACTGTTGTAAGTTATTATTTTTCTGACAGACGATGCGGACAAGAACAAGAGAGAGACTATACGATGTTGGCAATCGTTCTCGTTCAAATTACTCCCATTCACTTGTCTTTTCCGTTATATGACTGTCTCTTCTCAAATTTATAAAGCCCTCCTGTTGTAAATGATGTATAATAATTTAATTTCAATTTAAAAAAAGCGTGAAAAAACTTTATTTAATACCCA